CGCCAAGGGCGTGACTAAGATTGTCACTACCTGTGCTTGTCGTCAAAGGCTCAGTCTTTAAACCAAGATCACCTGTGACATGAAGGTTTTTCTGTGATATACTACGTCTACTTTCTGTGGAAAAAAAAAGATATAATAAATCTTTCAGAGAAGACTTTCACAACACTATCAGTTCCTTTTTATTAAGTATAAAACTAATATTCTTACTTTTTGTACTAGTCGAAGGCTCAGTATAAATTTGTGAACTATGACCATCTAAATGCTTATTGTAATTTTGATGACTATTTGAGCTTTTGCTTGTAGATGAAATAGTGTGAGTCTGTGATGTACGAGCAACTAAATTATCAAAATCTTCTTGCATATTAGTTTGATGTCTATCGAATACCATATCTTTTTCTACAAAAAAAAAAATATATTTCATTAGAGTATTGTATCAAAATTATTAACAATGTACGTGATATTATTTACCTCCAAACGAGTTATCATTGGCAAATTATAACCGCGAGATGTCCAAGGTTTCATTTGAAAGACTACCTTTTGGAGTAAAATGTACCACGTCACTGTAAAAAAATAAAATAAAAAAGTAAGTAATTACAGTTTGAGACAGCTGAGCTTGTGATAAAAGTACCAATCATAATACTTACTATTCCACATCGTCACAGACCTCCATAGATGCTCTATTTCTTCGTTTTCATCAAGCATGTATGAATAATTGTCGACTACATACTCGTAAGTCTTTTGATCCTTCTCTGAAATATTTATTATAGAATACGTTGATGTTCACACTCTCATTGGCACATAAAAACTTATACTCACTTTTCAACATCAGATATTCGCGTACTATCAGATCCGTCACCATGAACGTCTCCTGTTCATTAATTTTAAGGTGGATGACATAATTCCTGCCATTCCTGGATGGTTGTACAAAAATAAATGAAAATTACAAAATCACTATAACAACGTAACCTCAGTTTTAAGCGTCAACGGTCAACGCAAGTTTTGATGTAATTTTAAATTTGTGATTTTAATTGGATGGCTATGTAAAAGTAAATAATTCTTACCTGAGTTGTTTAAATCATCCATTGCAGCGCAGAACAAAACAAAAAGTTTGCGATTTTTATAAACATGCGCTTGAGTAACGAAAACGCGCGAACGAGCCTCCTGAGTATAGAGCATTCCCACATTCAACTTTCGACTGTTCGATTCTGAGTCGAAATAGAATCGAGCGTTTCAGAATCGATTCTGACAAGAATCGACAAAATAATCGATTCTCAAAAAAAAATCGAATACTTCGTCTGGAATCGAGTAGAATCGCCGACCCCTAGTCGCGACTTTAACTCGTTTTCGGAATCCACTAAAATCTTCGCCAACAAATCAAAGACGCAAATCCAAACGCATTGCGTAGAAGATCAACGGGTAAAATAGAGTAGATAGTGTAACGCCTGCGGGCATCTAACCACGAGTCATCGACTCAACTAACCGTTAAAACCTGTTGGTGATCCTATCGGATCTTACTATCAGATCAACTTGCCTATCTACCTATACCTGCCTATTTACTCAACAAGGTGTGAAGTGTGTGTGTGTGTGGGCGCCCACAAGCAATCGAGGCTATCGGGCCTCTCGGCGAATCGGTATTCTGCGAAACTCTGTATACCTATTGTTCGGTGTACGCGACTTAGTGCGACGTCATTCGTGTTCGATGTCTACTTTGTTCTTGTAATCCTGCGTTCGTTGTTTCTAACTTTAAGTGTTTATTTCATAACTAGTGCTCTTTGTAAATTCTAATCGTCATTCGTATAAAATAAATTTGGGTTTTTTATGCCTTCATGGGCTTTCTTCCTACAAATAGTTTTTTTTTATCTTTGTTTAATTTTCCTGCATTCTGGTAGATTACACGTTAAATCAATAAATTATAAATAATTCAAAAAGTAAAATTTTGCTACTCTGCCATCGAAGGCAATTTAGAATTCGTTGGAAACAATTCAACTATATTTGGAGAATCAAATTTGGGTGCTAGCACCAGCACCCATAATTAATTTTATCTGTTTTTCACATAAAGAAAATGAGCATAATCGACGCACAAACGATATGTGATTAATTTAAAGCCGCCCAATCGAATGGTGTGTCACGTCGATACAAAGAAAACGTACGTGACGAACTATGATAAGTAAACCCAACCCAGATAGCACTGTGGCGGCATTCTGCCGTCAGAATGCGCGTCCATATGACTCCCAAGTGTATCCGCATATTGACATCAGATTGGGAGCACGCCGTGCTCGTAGTATGCCAGCATTGTGACTCCACCTATGGAAACCATTGTTTGTCACGACGTACGCGCATTATGCCGTCATTATGCTTTCATATTCTGCAGCACGGAATGCTTACATCGTGCAGGCATTGTGACTACATGTTTCAAAATTTTTAATTTTCGCTTTTAAGGTTATTTTAAAATCAAATGACAATTATTTAAAATAAAAATTGTGTTCCGTAGCAACATGAAGTTAGTAACTTAAATTCCGTTCGATCAATTGCGTATGCGAACGTGATGTATGGGTGTGCATGTGTGCATACGTGTGTGTGTAAAAAGGGAGCTAGAACCCGGAAACTAGCTTGGTGGCAACACTGCGTAGCGTTGCCGCCAAAATCGTTTTCTTCCTCCGGCTTGACAGTCAGTCGTCGACGACATCGTTTAGCGTGCGGAGCTCCCTCGCATCTTTCCTGTTCAACGAACAGCGTGCATCCTTGCACTTTATCTCTCATCTAAAAAGGCATAAGTCCTTACATCATAACGAATCATAACCAATCACTCGAATCAATCGTTTAAACAGGCATAAGTCCTGAATCTCTTTACCTAATCTAGTGTGCGTGAGTAAATGCGCGTGCGAGCGCGAATGCGACCATTGTCCGCGACGTCAACGCGGAATTCATTCTCGCGTTTAATTTCTTGTTAACTAGTTAAAATAAAAAAGGGTTTTTTATGCCGGTCCTGGCTTTTTCCCTTTAAGTTGGCGTTATTATTAAACTCTCTCAATCCAATCCTTAACCTCAGTGTAATCTATCAGTGTAAAATCATATTAAGTGAAATTTCGGTTTTCTAGTTTATTTCATGTACTTAGCTAATTCTCAAGAACTGGACTTATTTGAATTCAAATAAGTCGCAAGTCTTTTCATGGTGCCTCCTGTGAGGTAAAAACTTTGCCTCTTTGTTCAAATCACTGAATTCCAGCTAAGTGACGTCGCGGCAGTGCAGTGCTCGAGGTATTCATAAATACCAAACACGAAAAACTTGTCGCGACGCGACATTCATTTGTCCGAATTCCATCGGCCTAGCAACCCGTGCTACATTCGTGCTGAAGAAAGGCGCGCGCCTCAACATCGAACAAAGGCGTGCGTGTCAACATCGACCATTGCCATCACTTTCGACAAGGGTCCCTTAGCGCAGCGGCCATCAACTTCGCTTGGGTGAATTAAGATAAGTACTTTCACATCTTAAAATGAACGCTTGTCTATTCTCATAGTGCCGGAATGCGGCAAATAGTTTGAACGCAAACTCAAGTGCTCATTTCTCAATTCTCGCATCTACATAAACAATATATATTTCTACCCGTCGATTCATTCGCGTTTTGCGCATTTCCTTTTACCGTTAGTAATCTCGTTCACTTGTTAAAATGGGGGAGGAAGCGGAAAAGCGCGCGCAATATATTGAATTGAAAAGTCAATCGTTGGAGAGAGCAGTTAAATCTCTCAAGGACTTTTTGGAAGAACATCCAACCGACGCTGTCAACGCGGAATGTCGGTTGAAACACATCCAAATCATATTCGCCGGGTACACGCAAAATCACGAAGAATTACTTGCGATTAAACCGACCAGTTCGCGTGTCGATGCGTTCGCAAAAATCGAGTCGGATTACTACGAACTCTCGGCAACCATCGCGAAGTTAAAACACCAAGCGCCTGTTGCCAATTCAACCGCGTTTAATACAACAAACGTGACTTTTTCCGAGAAGCATGAGTTGCCTAAGCTTCCCATCGTTCAAATTCCAAAGTTTGACGGTCGCCACGAAAATTGGACGACATGGAAGAATAGCTTCCAAGCACTCGTACACAAACGCGAAGAAATAAACGGCTACGTCAAACACTCACAGCTCGTTAACGCCGTCCAAGGTCTCGCTGCGCAAGTTATTGAAGAGTTCGAACCGAGTGATGCTAATTACACCCTCGCTTGGGAAGCATTGTGCAGCGCCTATGATCAAAAACGCGTCATCGTTAATGAACACATTGATAAACTTCTTACGTTGCCTAAGGTCGTCGAAGCTAAACCGGAATCGCTAGCCGGATTAATGTACACCGTGCGGCAAAACGTAAAGCTATTGCAAACATTAAAGGTCGACATACCTAAAGCGGTCATCGTTCGCTTGTTAGAACGTAGCTTGCCGAACAGCGTTAACTCGCGATGGGTGGATCGGTTATCTAGCGACAAATCACCGGAACTTCAGGAGATGTATGATTTCATACAGAATACGATTTTTAAGTTGCGCCAAATGGACGATTTGACGCAATACGCGCGCACGCATAAAAAGCGATCCGGAGAAAACACGAATCTTCCTCCTGCTAAATTCCAAAGGAATACCGCGCGGACTTTAGTTACGTCGTCTAATTCAAGTAAAATCTCGTGCGCTAAATGCAATCAATCTCACCGACTTTATCTTTGTCCGGAGTTTAATGAATTGAAACAAAAGGAAAGATGGGATTTGGTGAGGGCTCAAAAACTTTGTCGCAATTGCCTCTACGCGCACCCGTTCCCTTGTGTCAACGCGAATCGGTGCAAGAAATGCCAAAGGGATCATCACACGCTACTACATAGCGATAAGACCGCTAAAGGCAACAAATCGGAAAATACTCAATCGCAAAAAGAATCGAAACCGTCGATACCTCCGTCGGCATGACTAGCTTGTCGTCAAACTTACGCGTCGAACGCTTACAGTTCCGATTCGCAACTTATGACCACGGCTGTTTTAAAATTTCAGTCGTCGCCAGGAAACAGTCTCACGGCGCGTGCTCTACTAGACTCTTGTTCGAACGCCAACTTGATGACTTCCAATTTCGCGACTCGTTTGAAATTGCCTACGAATAAATGCTTCGTCAACATTGGCGCGGTCGATAACACAAGCGTTATTTCGGATCGGTTTGCGAAGGCGGTCTTCTATTCCACATACAACAACGTCCGATATCAATTAAACTTTTTAATCGTGCCTGAAATAGCAAATAGAATACCGAATGAAGTCTTTCCTCGAGAGCAATTCCACATTCCGCGAAATATAAAATTAGCGGATCCGCAGTTTCATATTCCGAGAGCAGTCGACGTGCTGTTAGCATCGGGTACTACTTTGTCATCTCTCGCCATCGGGCAAATAGAATTGGAAATTCCGCAATCGAAAATCACTCTTCAAAAAACATCCTTTGGTTGGATAGTCGCGGGAGGTTCCACGCCCGACGGGACTCTCAACAACGTAACATGCAACGCGGTAAAACTCGATCAGTTGCTCGAGAGATTTTTCACGATTGAAGACCTTGATTATCAACCTATCAAGGCTCCCGACGATATTGCGAGTGAAGAACACTATGTCAAAAATACGACGCGCGATGAGTTCGGGCGGTATACAGTTCGCTTACCTTTTCGAGACATTAATTTCGATCTTGGCACTTCCAGATTGCAAGCGTTAAAAAGGTTTCACGCGTTAGAAAGGAAATTTCAAGCTAATCCGCGTCTTAAGATCGAATACGAGAAAGAAATTAATAGTTACTTAGAATTAGGGCATATGACGTTGTGCGATAGCGATAACGACGAAGGATATTATCTGCCGCATCATGCGGTTCTCAAGGAATCAAGCGATACTACCAAGTGCCGGGTAGTTTTCGACGCGTCGGCCAAATCCTCGACCGGAATTTCGTTGAACGATGTATTATTGACAGGGCCCACGATTCAGGAAACTCTTTTGAATCAAATCTTTCATTTCCGCACATATCCTTTCGTCCTCACTGCAGACATCGAGAAAATGTATAAGCAGGTGTGGGTTCATCCGAGCGACAGACGGTTTCAAAAGATTTTTTGGTATCACGAAGACAAAGTGAGGTCGTTCACTTTGAACACAGTCACATTCGGCGTAAAATGCGCTCCGTTCCTCGCGATCCGAACATTGCATCAGCTAGCTACCGACGAAGAAGCCGTGTTTCCTCGAGCGGCAATGCTACTCCGACGGCGCTTCTACGTTGATGATTTCTTATTCGGCGCGGAAACGTTACACGACATTCTAACTATCCGAGACGAGATGATCCAACTCTTAAGTCGCGGAGGCTTCGTGATTCGAAAATGGTCCTCTAATCACCCGTCCGCATTGGAAAACATCGATAAGAAAATTTTCGAGCTTGACTGCGGTATACAAGGAAATCCCATCAAAAAGACGCTCGGAGTCATATGGGATTCGCAGCATGACGTATTCACATGTTCGGTAGAGGTAGAAGACCCGGCTCTCGTCTCTACTAAGAGAAGGCTTCTCTCTCAAATTGCGAAAATCTTCGATCCGCTAGGATTATTAGGGCCTGTCATTTTGTACGCGAAGGCATTAGTGCAGGAATGTTGGAGGGCCAACATTACTTGGGATGAGTCGTTGCCTCAATCCATACATACTAAATGGGAAGCATTAGCAGAACGGCTTCCGCTAATTCAACAGCTCGCAATACCGAGACACTTGCGTTGCGAAAATTCGAAGGTTACCGAAATCCACGGGTTTTGCGACGCGTCGTTTAACGGCTACAGCGCTTGTTTGTTCGTTCGCTCTATCAATGCAACCGGACGCGTCACTATGAGGCTAGCTTGCAGCAAATCTAAAGTCGCTTCTCTGAATCACAACACAATTCCGCGACTAGAACTAGCGGGCGCAACGTTATTAAAAAGAACATATGTAAATTATCGAAATCAGCTGGATTTCCCGATCAAGCGAGTGATTTTTTGGTCCGATTCAATGATCGTGCTATGCTGGCTTAAGAAACCTCCTCATGTTTTAAAGACGTATGAGTCTAATAGAGTTAAAGATATTCAGCAATTAGATAAGGAAGTTGAATGGAGACACATACGCTCGAAAGACAACCCAGCTGACTCGTTATCTCGGGGACAACTACCGGATCATCTTTTAAACAATTCGCTCTGGACGTCGGGTCCTCAATGGCTAAAGCTACCGGAAAACGAGTGGCCCCAGTCGCCTATCATTTCATCTCCAGTTAATTCGACCGGGTTCAAAGAAGGAATAGTGTTGCTCAATTCACTAGGTGGAGCCGATATTTATTCTCGATTTTCGGATTACGGTCGCTTAATACGATCAATAGCGTATCTTCTCCGTTGGAGAAGGAAAGAACCCTTACGCGACAGCGTTCCGACGACGGAAAAATCAAAAAGGGGAGTTCGCTACCTCTCCTCAGCGGAAATCGCTTATGCAGAGCGTCTGATCCTTCTCTTGATTCAGCGAGAAAACTTTAGCACAGAAATCAAACTTCTACGATCCAATGACAACAAGGCGACGGGAACTCTTCGTGGCACTTTTCGAAATCGAACCAAGTTCGATGAAATTAGTCCTTTTTTAGACGGCGATGGGCTGATTCGCGTGGGTGGCCGGCTAAAAAATTCCAATCTTCCTTTCAATCAGAAGCATCCGATACTACTTCCGCAAGGGCATCACGTGTCCGACTTAATCATTAGCGATGCGCACCGTCGGAATTTGCACGGCGGCATTCAGTCCACTCTTCATACTGTTCGTGAGAGATTTTGGATTTTAAACGGAAAGAATCAAGTCCGACACATCGTTCATAGATGCGTGCCATGCATACGCCAAAAACCACGGTTTTCTCACGCGAAAATGGCAGATTTACCTGCTGCTAGAGTAACTCCCAGCGTAGCTTTCGCGGAAACGGGAGTCGATTTTTTCGGGCCAATTTTGATAAAGGAAAAGAAAGATCGTAATCGCAGTTTTATCAAAGCATACGGTTGCGTTTTTGTATGCATGGCTTCGAAGGCTGTGCATATTGAAGTGGCTTCCGATCTAACTACGGGAGGCTTTTTAGCCTGTTTTCGCCGATTCATCAGCATTCGCGGAAGGCCACTCGCGATGCACTCCGACAACGGAACGAACTTCGTTGGTGCAAACAATGAATTGAAAAAAATCTACGACTTGCACGCAACGGCAGAATTCAAAAACGCGATTCAGGAATACGCTATCTCCAAGCGCATTGAGTGGAACTTCAATCCACCTCTCTCTCCGCACTTTGGTGGGCTCTGGGAGGCGGCAGTCAAAAGTTTTAAACATCATCTCAATCGCATGATGAAGGATCAGTCGTTTACGTACGAGCAACTCGACACTCTGCTCAAGGAAATCGCCGCGATCTTAAACTCGAGACCGTTGTACGTGGACTCCGCGGATCCAAACGACCCACTGGTCATAACGCCTGCTCATCTGTTAATAGGGCGATCATTCAATAAGTTACTTGAATCCGATGTTGTTTCAGTTTCAGATAATCGGCTGTCTATTTATCAACGTGTCACCAAAATCCGGCAAGACTTCTGGAAGAGGTGGTACAAGGAGTACCTGCATGAACTCCAAACTCGTCGGAAATGGCTAACGTCGGCTACTGCACTATCCGTCGGCTCCGTCGTCGTGTCGATGGAAGACAACTCGGCGTGTTCCAGATGGCCGCTCGGCGTTGTCCTCGAGGTGCACCCCGGAAGTGATGGCATCGCGAGAGTAGCAACGATCAAAACTTCGACCGGCGTTTTTAAGCGAAACATTACGCGTCTGTGCGTGTTACCATTGGAGCAGACTAAGGAGCTCCAAACCGCGTTTTAGTGAATTTTATCACGTTTTTCTTGTTCTTACCTACGTTAAATGTACTTGCGGATATTTGCGTAATTTAACAAAGTTAATTCATTTCATTTTAGGTTTTGTTCGTTGTTTGGCTAGTCAGTTGACTTGTATATATGTATTTAGTTATACGATCAAGCTCTAATCATGAGGCAGTCCCTCCAAGGGAAACTGACCTTTGTTGTTTCTCGATACCAAAGAACCGCGAAACTCGCGTTGAACAAATTTACCTTAGTTAAGTCTAACACTGCTTACTACCAAGATTAGAGGTAGTCGCGCAGCCTCGGCCGGCAGTATGTTCCGTAGCAACATGAAGTTAGTAACTTAAATTCCGTTCGATCAATTGCGTATGCGAACGTGATGTATGGGTGTGCATGTGTGCATACGTGTGTGTGTAAAAAGGGAGCTAGAACCCGGAAACTAGCTTGGTGGCAACACTGCGTAGCGTTGCCGCCAAAATCGTTTTCTTCCTCCGGCTTGACAGTCAGTCGTCGACGACATCGTTTAGCGTGCGGAGCTCCCTCTTTCCTGTTCAACGAACAGCGTGCATCCTTGCACTTTATCACTCATCTAAAAAGGCATAAGTCCTTACATCATAACGAATCATAACCAATCACTCGAATCAATCGTTTAAACAGGCATAAGTCCTGAATCTCTTTACCTAATCTAGTGTGCGTGAGTGAATGCGCGTGCGAGCGCGAATGCGACCATTGTCCGCGACGTCAACGCGGAATTCATTCTCGCGTTTAATTTCTTGTTAACTAGTTAAAATAAAAAAGGGTTTTTTATGCCGGTCCTGGCTTTTTCCCTTTAAGTTGGCGTTATTATTAAACCCTCTCAATCCAATCCTTAACCTCAGTGTAATCTATCAGTGTAAAATCATATTAAGTGAAATTTCGGTTTTCTAGTTTATTTCATGTACTTAGCTAATTCTCAAGAACTGGACTTATTTGAATTCAAATAAGTCGCAAGTCTTTTCAAATTGCTTTATTAAAAATAAATAAATATTAAAATATATATTACATATGGGCAATTCTTGGCTATTTCAAACAGTTTAAAACATCAAATCACCAATTTTATTCAAAGTTGGTAGACTTGTTACCTATACAGAGGTCAACATCTATGCAGAGTTTTAGATCAAAATATTGATAAGGGGCCGACTTATCAACTGTTGAAAAAATATAGGACTTTTTTTTATTAATTCGATTTCTCGGAGACTAATAAAGATATGGACATGATTCTTTTTTTAAAAGACGCGAAAAGAGCTTCACTTTTAAAATGTAAATAGTAAAATACCAAATCATTTATTTATGTCATTGCTATAAACAATTTTTTCAAAAAATCGACGATATCTCAAAAAACGATATTTTTTTTTTAATTTTTGCACCATTGTGTTCCTTGTCATTTTTTACATAAGAAACTGTTGTGAAAATCAAGTGACCGCTATTAGGGTTAAGACAGCACTAAAATGAAACGAACCGCCCGCTAGCCGCTCGAACGTCCGCTACTCGTGCGGTTCCAACGTTGCTTGCTGCAATTGCCTTTCAGGAATAAATAAATTAATATTCTATCAGTCTATATGTATTTATTTAAATAATATATAAATTAATTGATTGAATAAGTAATATAAATGAACTATTTTTTTATACAATCTGATGTAATATTGAAATTAAACATTTGCTCTCTGCGTTTGATCGAGCTTGAGACCGGCGCATATAAACGAAGAGGCCGCATTAAAAATGTTTTTTTATCGGACCTACACCATAATATTCTTAATAAGTTAATTTCAAGTAATTTGTTCTAACCTATTTGCTACCATATATTTTTGAATATACGTCATTCTCACGCCCGATCAAACGTATAGAGTAAATGTTTCATACAATGTTGTTTCAGATTGTACAAAACAATAGTCCATTTATAGTGTGTAGTTTATTTACAACTTATATATTACATTTGGTTTTCATTTCTTTTATTACAATTGTGTCTCGTATCCAGTTTGTGTAATTGATAATGTATGTGTTTTGTGTGTGTGTGTGTGTGTGTGTGTGTGTGTGTGTGTGGGTGTGTGTGTGTGTGTGTGTGTGTGTGTGTTTTGTGTATATGAGTACGTATGTAGGTGTGTCTGCAATTCTTGCGTTCCCGTCTTCTGCTTCTGTCTATTCCGCTCTTCTTCCCATTTTTCTGTTGTTATAATCTTCTCTTCCTCTCTCTCTCCAAGATCTATCTTTTCCGCTCTTCCGTTTTTCTCTTTCTTGCATATTTTCTTTTCATCTTTTTCCTTTGTTACTTTCTTTTGCCTTTTCACCTTTGCCTTTCCTTTGCTTTTGCTCTCATTCTTGCTAATCATTTCATCTATCTTTCTCCTTATTAGGGCTTTGACACCTTTTTCTTATTTCCTATTGCTCCCTCTGCCTTTCCTTTCCTCAACATCACTTATTTTTCCTTAGTATCTCATAATTTGTCTTCTAATTTACCTTTTTCTTTCTCTTCTTCGATTCTTCTTGTTTTTCATTTTGCTCCATCCTCCAATACCAGCTTCCTCTCGCATGTGTAGTTGCTAGTACTTGTGTTTTGTGTGTGCGTGTTTTGTGTGTATGTGTGTGTGTGTAGATGTGTCTGCGAGTCTTGCTTCTCTGTCTTCTGTTTCCGTCTCTTCTTAGGGTCTTGCAGTTTCGTCCTCTTGTTTTTCTTTTTCTTTCTTCTCTTCGTTTCTTCTTTTTTCCATTTTATCGTTTCATTACCTAACCTAAACGTTTCCCTTATTTGTAAGCCTTTTATTCTTCTCTCTCCTTGAATTTCCTTTAACCTATACCTTTTCATTTCTTCTTTCAGTTCTTTCCACTCGTTTATTTATCTTGATTTTTCTAGTTTTTCTTCTAGTCCTTTTTCTTCTTTTTTCTTTAGCTCATCTCTTATTTCTTCCCAAAACTCTTCCCTCATTTCATCGCCCTCTTCCCTCTCGCTGTATATTTTACTTTTTTCTAGCCTTTCCTCTCTCTCCTCCTTCTTACCCTTTTTATCTTTTTCATTTCTTTCCCTTTTCTTTAGTTCTCTCCATACTTCTTTTTTTATTGAGCCATCTCTTTCTTCTCTTATTTTGTTTTCATACCTCACTGCTCTTTCTAATGCTGTTTCTTTCATTTCTTGCCTTCCTATTTCCCATCGTATTAAGTAACTTGGCGTGTTTCTATCTAATCCTAATACCCAATTTATGTATTTTAGTTGTAGTCTCTCTATTTCTTCATATCTCTTCCATCCCCAGATTTGTGCTCCATACATAATTACGCTTTTCGCCAGTGCATCGAACAGGTTCATCCTTAGCTCTCAATTTTCTCTAAATAGCTTTTCTCCTAGCCCCCATAGTCTTCCGAGTCCCATATTTATTTTTCCTTCTACCTTCTTTATCTACTTTTTATTTCCGTTATTTCTTCTTATTACATATCCCAAGTAGTTGTACTCTTTAACCATCTCTATCTTCTCACCTCCCCATTCGAATTCTTCTTCCTTCCCCCTTCCTTCTCCTTTCCTGCATTTCATCATCTTTGATTTTCCTACATTTAACTCTAATCCCCTTTCTTCCAGGTATCTTTTTAATTTTTTCAGCATTGCTTTCATTCCACTTTCATTCTTTGCCATCATCACTATATAATCTGCATATCCTAATGTCCATATTTTCTTCCTTCCTATCACTACCCCTCCTTCCTGCACCTGCTTGATCTTCACTTCCAGGTCGGCGAAGGCAAGATTAAATAGCGTGGTGCTCAGAGGGCACCCTTGCCTTACGCCTTTATAAGTCTCAAACTCCCCAATTATTTCTCCTCCCACTTTTACCTTACTCCCTGTTTTCTTGTATATTTCTTCTATTCTTTTCCTAATTTTTTTATTTATCCCTTTCTCTTTCATTGTTTCCCATATTTTCTTCCTCTTTATCTTGTCGAAAGCGGCCTTCATATCGGCAAAGAATACAAACAGTTTTCCTCCTTTTTCCCTTATTTCCTTCCCTATTATTGTTGTTAATATATATATTGCGTCCATTGTTCCTCTTTTCTTCCTAAATCCCATCTGCGTATCGCTTAGCGTTTCTTTAGCTTCTAGTTCTCTTTCCAGCTCTTTCCTCAGTATTTCCGCATATATTTTATATCCCGTGTCCATCAGCGTTATTCCTCTATAGTTTTCTACTTCTTCTTTCCTCCCTTTCTTATATATCAGTATTATTCCCTTCCTCTATTCTTCTGGATATCCTTCTCCGTTCCATATTCCGTTTAAGTATTTTGTCATATCTTTTATCAAGCCTTCCGTGCCTTCCACCCACGCTTCATTTGCTATACCATCTTCTCCTGTCGCCTTTTTCTTTTTCATTTTTCTTATTACCTCTTTTCTTCTCTTTCTTTGATTTCTTCACCTTCCTCTCCTGCGCTGTCTTCGGTTTCTTCCCCTTTGCTTTCTTCCTTTTCTTTCTCTCCCAATTGTTCCTTGAAGTGCTTTATCCATTCTTCTTTTCCTATATTTTCATCTAATCCAATTCTTTTTTTTCCTATTGCCATTCACTTTATCCCAGAATTTTCTTCTCGTCTTATCTATTCTTATTTCTTCTGCCATCTTTTCCCTTCATCTTCTTTTGCTTTTCTTATTTCCTCTCTGTATTCTCTCTTTGCTTCTAAGTATTTGCCTCTGTCTCCTTCCCCTTTTCTTACCTTATTTAACTCTGCCATCACCCTATCCCTTTTTGCCTTACATTCTTTTCTCCACCAGCTTTTTTTTTATCCTTTTTTTTCCTTATCTTCTTTTTTACAACTGCGTTCTTCACTCTATTTTTTATATCTTACCATTTCTCTGTTCCCCCTATTGCGTCTATCCATTTCTGATACTCCCTTATTCGCTCCAGTCGTCTATCATTCTTTCTTCCTCTTCTTTTCTTTCTTCCGCTATTCTGTCTCCCAATTCCACCTCTATTGGTAAGTGGTCCGACTTTACCCTCTCCTTTA